AAAATTTAATTACATTAAGCTTTGTTTTATATTTTCATATGACAATTTAACTTAAAAATAGTCTACATGAATGTTTTAAATATCGTTTGAGTTTGATTGTATGGGATTGGTTGTTACATTACAATTAAAAAATATATAACGTTTAGATCTAGTAAAAAGTATAATTATAATTGTTGAATACAAACAATAAACGAATGAATGAACAAGGTGAAATTATTCCTAGTTAAAATTTTTAACTGGCAAATAATTAATTTTAAATATTTTAGAAGCATTTTTAAATTCAACCTGCTTCCTTCATGTAATGTAGAAAACAGTAAGGTGGTTTTGTGATTTTCAAGGGAAATTGTGGTAGTGGCAATGTTTTTTTTCGAAACAGAGGTGGAAATGGATGGAATGGATGTTTTTCGGTATGGAATGAATGTTTCAGCACCAAGTAAGGAAACATCAAGGCATAATAAAACAAGAAAAAAATATCATTTTTATCTTAGAACATAGGATGTTCTAAATTAAAATGATTTGAAACAATAGTTGAAAAATTACTATTTAATTAATTTTTTAAACTTAATGATTTTACCACGTACTAATAAAAAAAACTTTACATAATTTTTCAGTGGTTTAAAATTAAATTTCGCAATTATTATTGTTATGAATTATTATTATGCATTATTATTGTGTATTATTATTATGTATTATTATTGTGTATTATTATTATGTGTTATTATTATGCATTATTATGTATTATTATGTATTATTATTATGTATTATTATTATGTATTATTATTATGTATTATTATTATTGTTATGTATCATAATATAATATTATTATCAAAGCACTAACGATAAAAAGAGCCATTCTTTTTGGTATTCCCATAGAGCCAGAAACACAGTAAGTTTTACATTATTCTGGAAGTTTTGACCGTGTATTTTTTCATTATGCCCTGAAGACCTAAAGCAAGAAAAAAGAAACGTTTTTTCTTTCTTTTATTTGGCATAAATATTTAAATTTCACATTTTTCTTTTGTCTCTCCTTTTGCTTTTAAAAATGTTTTATGAGCTCTTTGTTTTATTTCAACTCTTTATTTATTTTGAAAATAAAAAATATATGAAAATTCGGAGTAATATTATTTTTAATTGGAACAACGGAAAACATCAAAATGCTAAAGCAAAATTTTGCTAAAGCAAAATTTCTGAATTTTACGTGTGCTGGAGCATGCTGAACCATAATATTGTTCACATTTGTTGTCACCTTATTATACTTATGATAGCTGCAAATTTAAACCACATTATCGCTCAAGCTATCGTCATTTTATTTCAACGTTGAACTGATTTTTCTGAAATTGTAATTAAAAACATTTTACGTTGGAAATGTTCATTACTATAGTACTATAATGAGCATTTTTTATTTAGTGTGTACAGTAAACTAAAAAAAATACATCTTCCAAATAACTTTTGTTCTATCGTTTAGATTTTCATATACTGAAAACCAATCTTAGTTGTTCAAAGGGTTGATTTCAAATATGCTGTATTATTAGTTCTATTTTTGAATTAAGTTACGAAATCAAACATAAAAACATACTTTTCTTGAATAAATATATCTGGGGAATTTTTTAAGTAAATCGAAAAATATTTGCACACAATTATAAAACTGATTTATGCAAAGATAATCCGATGCAAAAAATATCTTAAAATAATTATTCAATTTTTTGATATTTTATTTAATGATGGTCGAAAAACATTTCAAACTGAAATAAATACAAATTTTGACTTTGTAAACTAAATAGTTTTAAATGATAAAATACAAAATTTGAGCGATATTGGTCTAATATCTATGATGTCTGGTTTATAAAGTTTAAAAAAGTCGTACTTTCAAATTTAAATTTCTCAGGAACTATTTGACCAATTTCATTCAAAGTTTGTATTTTGTTGTTTAAAATTACAAATTTGAGAAAGACGTATGCATTTACTTACCTTGCATTTCTAAATGCTTCGACCATTATTAAATAAAGTAATAAAAAATGATAGCTAATTATCATAAATTGTCTTTTTACGTAATAAAGATTTATTGAGTCGCTTATATAGGTCCCAAAATATGGTTAAATACGCAATAAAATGAAATTAACATTAAGAGATCCTAACTTCTGACCTCTTTGTTGACTAAACTATTAGAACCATTCAGCTTTACCAACTTTACCAATTGTCCTTCAGATTTTACCAACAAATCTGACACTCAAGAATCTATATCCATCGAAAAAAAAGTATTTGTTTTTTTAGAGGAAATACGTTTTTGTGTCGAATTTCGTAACCTATTAGATCATTAGCAATAATTAGCCAGCATATTTGAAGCACTTTGAACCATTAAAGTTGGGACTTAGTACATAAAAATCCACGCATTAGAACAAAAGTCGGTTAAAGTAATTCCTTTTTTTTTTATTCGCATCATACTTAGTCAATTAAATAATTTTCCTTTTTTTAGTCATGTCTTAGTTTCTGTTTATAAATTTTTACCAACAAAAATATTATTCAGTTTATCATAGTGATCCAAAAAGAACAATGCTCCCTTTTCTTCAACTAGTGGTAGTGGATTTATCATAAAACGAATTTATTGCCTTTTAATTTAGCTGTTGCAGCTAAATAATAAAAGCTTTATTGTATTGAATTGAAAAAAAATTTAAATTCTTCCACAATTCAAACAAATGTGTCTTGAATCTAATGATGATAAATCATTTAAAAGGGGAGAATTTCTTTTTAAAATAATTAACCGTATATTAGAAATTTTGTGATTGCTATTTTAAACAGACATTATTTGCTAAAAACTTATATATATATTTTTGAATAAATCTCTAAATACTAAGCCCAAATTATAAAAATAAAATTCTTTTCATGACCTGAAAATATACTTTTATCAAAAGTAAAACATTTTAGTATTTTCTATTTCTTAGTTTTATATTTTAGTTAATATTTTAGCCAATCTTTTAGTATTTTCAATATTAAGTGCTTAACGTTTAATAAAACACCACAATCAGTTTCTAAGAATATAACAATTTGTATTACTTACTCAAACTAAACGAAAATGAAACGTGTACAATGCAGGAAATAATTTGAAGTCTTTGCGACAACATGAAACAAAAAGCAAAATAAAATTCTCATTATTTCTTGATTTAAATCCTACAACATGAAGTCTAGACTATAACAATAACGCTTAAAACACAGCAATTTTATAGCTAAACAAATCTCCTCATTCTACGGCTACACTGCAGGAAGAGTCGCTTTGTAAGGAAACAGTTTTACAGATTCCTTTTTTTTTTCTTCCCCTCTAAGAAAACCCATTGAAACATTTATGTCTCTTGCAAAGAGTAGCAAACTTGTTTTGTCTCTGGGATTTATTTTTAGAACCAGATAAATTATTTTTAAACTAAAGAAACTATTTTTAAACTTGCTGATTCATTTATTTCTGAAGCCTTAGTTTTTTTTCTGGCTAATGTAAATTTATGTGTTATTTTTTCGCTCATTTGTAACGGCTCAATGCTATATATTATTTATAGTTATAAATATGCATTATAACGAATACTCATTTATTCCCCTAAAAGATTAAAGATTAATTTAATTGCAAGATTACTTGTTATTATTCATTGATGCATCTATCATTATTCGACAACATTTATCAATGGTTAAAATTATATATTGTAACATATACACATTCATAAGAAACGATTTAATATTCAATTTAAATGCAAGATCACTCATCATTATTAGTTAATGCGTATTATATAATTCATTAAAATCTTTTTAAAAGTGTTTTTGGAGAATGCGTTTATTACATTTATGTAATTATATAACAAATTTTATCGTGTTCCTATATGCATTAAACTTGATCAGTAAAACGTTTTAAATTGAACATTTTTTGCATTAGTTTCTAAACAAGAAATATTAAATGTTTTTCAAGATTAAGGCTTGACATAAAAAGCATTATATTTTTCAAATCCTAATAAATTACTAATTATGTTTCTTTTCCGAATACTAAAACTATGATATTTTTCAAATATTCATTTGCAAATCACATTAATAATATTTAACTTTTAGACTCAGTCTGTTTCTCAATTTATTTAAAGTTTATATCCATATTCTTTCTATGTTTATAAACTAATAAAACTTGTTAAAACTAATGTATAAACAATAATTATAAATTAAACTTAACTTAAATTGAACTTAATTGTAAATTAAACTTAAAATATTTAATTAAACAATTGTTAAGCAAGAAGTAAGTTTCGCACATAATTTATTTTAAAAAATAAAACATTTACATTTTAATAATTTACCTTAGATATATTTTATGAAAAAAAAATTATAAATTAATTATTGATGAACTGTTTATAACTTAATTTGTTTAAGATTATAAATTCCATATTATTTTTCTCAAACATGTCTGGTAATTTAAAATATGTGATAAATTATTTTTAAAATAATGATCTAAATAAAGAGTTTATTTTTAAAAAAAAGTATAATTCTGGTGAAATATTCCTTCTAAATATAGTTCTCCATTGAAAACACAGTACTTCAGCAATTTTTATTCCCTTTCCTACCAGCTATTCAAAAATTTATTTTTATCTATAATAATATCAATATGAACTAGATATGTTTACGAAGATATATATGTTTACGACTAACATATAACGAGTAACATATATGTAAACATATATGCTATTATTTGTTTATAAGGAGAAAATAAATCTTAAAAATATACTAGTCTAACAATATAAGATTTTCACTCGATTGAATTTTATCAGTTCACTCTTAATGCACATATAACAAGAATAAAATTTGTCACCATTCGATTACATTGTTGAATTATAACTAAAAGGGCAAAGTTTAGGATGACATTTCGAAATATTTATTCTGAAAGGCTAAATGACATTTGTAAGAAAGTAGAAATCAGCAGTATTAATCCTCTTTATATTTTTTAGTTAAAATTTATTTTATAAAGACTACTGTAAAATAAATACCTGAGAATTTCCATTTCTTTTTCTTCCTCTTTCTGTTGCCTAAACATGACACCTTCGATGATTCTCCGCTCATCTTCAGTCAGGTGGCTGAGATCGGGAAACGGGGGCTGCATGAGGGGAACAGGTCCCCCCGAGTGATCTTGAGACTCAGTCATTGGTGTTAATTGAGTATAAATGCAGAAAATCCTAAGAGGTGCGTCCAAGAGCAGCAGCACACATAGTAGTGTTAGAGCCGCCAGTGCAGCTCCACACAAACAGCGGGAGGTCCGAATCCAATAAAAAGATCGCGTGGCAGTATTACTGTAACATCTCTGTAACTTCTGGTGGGAGACATGGCTGCTTGGGGTTTGAACGGGGATCTGCTGCGCTATTGCATTCTGGGTAACAGCAGTTGTAGTAGTAGTAGTAGATGTGCCTCTTTGCTTCCCGGATCTTTTGGTGAGCCATCTAGGTCATGAGTTTGCGGGCCCGTTCGTCTTTAGATACTAAAGAGAAATGAAGTCACGCACATATACATAAGCCCTACAGTCAGATGGGGAGAGAGGCTTCATGAATAAGTTACGGAAATAACACGCCAGTTGTGTAGCCAATGAGCGACTGCTCAACGCTTGACGTCATAAATGGGCTTCATGAGAGAAGAGAGGGGAAGTGATCGTCTGATAAAAATGTTGTGTGAGACTCAGTGAGATGGCCACTCTAGCCTTTATTCTATTAAGATATTACTTTTATTCTTTTTTTAATCAATGTTTTTTTATCAAATGTTTGATAAGTAAGCGATACAAATAGATACTTTTAAAAGGGAGGGGATACTTGGAATGTAAAGTTAAGGAAAGCTAAGTTAGCAATTAAAAGAGCTAACACTGTGTAAGTGAACGCATATGAATAAATATGTATACAACAAATGATTTTTAAAATTGTTATATTTTTGCATCATAAATATAAATATCAATCTAAATACTTTTATTCGAATCTTTTTTTAATGAATTTTTTTTCTATCACATTTTTGGTAAGTAAATGATTCAAATAGATACTTTCAAAAGAAATGAGGTAATTTTAATAAAAAGTTAGAGAAAATTAAGTTAGTAATTAAAAAAAACTTACATTTTGTTATGGAAAACAAGTAAATAATTGTTTATTCAGCAAATGATGTTTTAATACGCGTCTATTCATTTATATTTATATATTTTAATTATTATTTGCATTATTTAATATTTATATGTCTTTACATCAAATATGTAAATATTAACTAATGAAAAGATAAAATATTTTGAAAAGTTTGTACGTTATCAAAATAGTTTAAACATAATTTGCAAAATACTAATATATGAATAATATGAAGAAAAAAATTCGTAATAACAGAAGTTTTATTAATATTTTTATTTGCCATTTTTTAATAAATGTTTATCTATCAAATCTGAAGTATACGATTCAAATACATACTTTTAGAAGAGAAAAATATTCATTTGATGGAATTTAAAAAATAAAAAATAAAAAAATAAGTCAACAATTAGAAAAGCTAACATTGTAACAAGTAAAAACATGAAAATTAATAATTCTAAAAAACATTTTAACACGTTATTTCTGCATCAAATATCTAAATAGCAATTAATAAAGTAATCAAATACTTTGAAAATATTATTGTTTCCCAAAATATATTTGACTTATTTTGTATAGTATTAACATCTGAATAAAATAAAGGAACAAAATATTTTGCAATACGACAAGCTTTATGAATTAAAATAAGAAAATTTAATAAAATATTTCTTTTATTCCCCACTATTTTAATAAATATTTTCTATCAAATGCTTGAGTAGCAAGTGATTCTAACAGATACTTAAAGAAAAGGGAAAATTTATTTAATGAAGATACTTAAAGAAAAGGGAAAATTTATTTAATGAAAAGTAAAAGAAAAGTAAATTTAAAAATAGAAAAGCTAACTTTTGGTAAGTAAAAACATGCTTGTAAGAAAAAGAAGAAAAAAATCCTGCTAAAATTACAGTTCTATATGGCAATGACATTTCTGGTGAAATAAAACTAAATAAACTTTATGAACTAAAATATGCGATATTTAAATCATTCACTTGGTAATTCGGTAATTTTCCCGTAACGGTCTCCCTAGGTAACGGTTTACAGAAAATTATAGTATTCAAAATTATAGTTCCTACTACCTTACATTTAGTAAAAAATACAAATCGTATTCAGGAAGTTTCTAGGCTTATAAATACTATGAAGAAACTATCAACAACTTAAAACTATTTGGTAAAGAAGTAAACATGTCTAGGAAGTTACTATCCTTATAATACTATTAAGAAACTGTCAACAATATTTCATTAAGTGGAAACAGTTAGCAACAACCTTCATTTGAATTGACGAAGAAGCTCCATTCCTTAAATAGAAACATCTATAGATATTCATTTTCTCATCCACTAAGGCCATTTCTATTGGAATACGAAGAGCTTTTGCGTCTCATTTGCATTTCGAAGCAATGACGACTGCCTCTTCGAACAAAATTGGATCACCCAATTGAGTTTTAGAATACACGTTGGCTGAAATTAGAATTGCTTTGTTTTATTTTGTAAATATAAATGATTTAATTATTCCTTATTCTAATGTTTTGAAATGGAAGGATACTAGGATCATTATATTCTAATATTCTTAGCTTCTCTATATTTTTAATGTTTTCATATGCGTGAAATAGTAGAATTTAAAAAAAGAAATACTTTCATAGCGTAAATATTTTGCTTAAATTTTCATTTCGTTTTATGAATTCAATTTATATCATTTTCCCCTCATCCAGTTGTTTGATGATTTTGTTTGATATGCTATATTCTTTTAATATCCATAACTCCTCTGCATATTTTACATTTTTAAATTCATGAAATTGCAAAATTAGAAAAAGAAGCGTTTTTTTACTGTATAGATACTTTGCATATTTAAAACTTTTTTAATTTTTATTTTAATGTTATTTTCTAATGTAGATCATCATCTTATTAATAGCACCTCAAGACATTCTGCTTTTACGACTGACATTAGTATCGATATTTTTTAAGCGTTTTTCTAATTGAAACGATCACATTTGATTTTAAATTCAAATTATATAAATAGATCTTAAAATAATAGTGAAAACTAAAAGCTTTAATGCATCAGAAACATTTTCAAAATGGGGAAACATCAAGTCCCAGTTACGGTTTTATCTTTTTTCTTACGTATACATTGTAAAAAATTCCAGATCAAATTATAAAGTCAAAGTACAAAGTATTCAGTATCAGCAAAGTATAAAAGTATAAAGTATTAGCACTCTGGATACATCATCAGTAAAATCCATTTTTAACTCAGAATCCATTTTTACAGTAAAAATGAATTTTACTGTAGAAAGTACTGGCACCCTGAGTGCCAGAACTTTTTACTGTAATTTGATCCGAAATTTTTCACAGTCTAGGAGTGCAACGAAGAAACGTTTTCTAAAAATATTATACACTACTAAATTTATTGTAGCAGCTGAGGAATTTAAAATTTCATTAACAACATAGTAATTTCTAAAAAAGGGAAACAACAGAGAAAGAAATGCTTTTTAATAACCAAAAAAACAAATCTAAAAACCATTTTTTATATTTTTTATTTTAAAACCGACTTTGAACAACTGACTCATTTCTAAGTTTATGACTATCAATGTTCAACTCCAAAGACTTGCAATTTTGAATCCAGCCCAGAAGACAAGGGAATTCCTGGACCAAGCATTGGGACAAACTAGCCTTTGAGAACGACTTTTTGATGGAAATAACCAGCAAGTGCGTTACATGGAGAGGAAAACCACGAAATTCTACGGTTGCCGGGACGGAAGAGGAATTCTAATCCATGATTCGTCTACCACGGATGATTTTTCCCGTCAGCACTGTGGTTACTACGAGCCGGGAGCAGAACTCATATCAACCAAACACCGCTGGAATTCGAACCAGGTCACCTTATTAGGAGACGAATGCTCTATCTCCTGAGCCACCTCTGCCTCATTTAAAAGAATTGAAAACCTTTGTAGAAGAACACGTTAAATAACGTTTTACTGAATTTGGGAAAACGTTTCAACAATATAAGGGAATTCACATGCTGACTACTTAGACGTAATACAAAAAAGCTTAGCTTAGCTTAAAAGCTTAGAAGGAGCTTAAAAGGAAGCTTAGAAAGAGAAGCTTAAAAAGAGAACATATATTATGTAACATTTTAGTAAATTTAAAAAAACGTTTCTAGCACATATTATTCAAACGCATAAAAGCGAATAGTGAGCTAATTAAAAGCAAATAATTATTACATGAGGTTTATTTTATTCTAAGATATTTTTTGTGGGCCAACTATTTACCTGTTAAGAAACTTATCTTCATTATAAGAAAAGTAGTAAAAAATTAAGCTTTGGTGTTGTTAGTCGTCAATTGGATATCCCCTTCGGCTTTGTACCGTCCGCCTCTCTTTTGTGCACCACTTACCTATATATTATAATCTACCTATTTTTCAAGAAACTGAAACGTTTGTAAAACGGAAGAAACTGAAACTGCCGCTCGCACCTCCAACATAGATATTATTAAGTAACTTCCAACTCTAAAATCCTTTTTTTTTTTTTTTTTTTAAAAAAGAGTATGTTTTAATACAGTTTATGTGTTTTAATATATATTTAATGAATTGCTTTAGGTTATTTTGAAAAATATTAAACGATTTGCATGACTTTTTGACTTTTTTTGAATTCTTGTGAATTTGAAAAAAGTCGAATTGAAGTAGTATTGAAGCCTCTTTTTTTTACTTTTAATTTGTACTCTCTGCAATACCTTCAATTTAGACATTTTTCTTTTCAATGTAAATTCCTAAAGTTACAAGTATTTAAAATTTTTAAGTCAAAAGTCTTTTTCATAAAGTGTCTACATTAGAGGTAGAAAATTGTTAACACAAAGATTTTCAAGTTTTTTTTTCCTGTGTTCACCTGGAGAATGACCTTTCGTTATCTGAAGGGCAGATTTGTTGGCCACTCTTTCAGGGGCACCATATTAGGTGGGCCAACATTGCTGCCACAGTAAAGACAGAGAGTACAGAGAATGAAAGAACATCCATGCCTTGCCCGGGACTTGAACCGAAAACCTTTCTGATACAAGGCCAGTTGCCTGAACCCCTACACAGGAGGTCGATTCGAGACTTTAAGTTACTTTTGTATTCAACAACCCAGAATAGACCTAAGACCTGCAAGTCAAATTTGGGTATTTTTAATAGAAAATCAAATTCTGCAATAAAATTTAGAATTTCCACTTAAGGTTTTAAATTCACACCACCTGACCACCGTGGACTTTATTTTTATATATAATACAATAATATGACACGCGAATATCGAATCACGCCTTTAAGTTAAATTACTTTTCAATACTCGATTCGAGGTAATTTCTTTTTCACTAGCTATTAGAAGGAATTTCCAAATAGCATTTAAGATCCCTATATTTAATATTCGATAATACAATAAGGGAATATCGAATCCCGCCGGTGAGTGATCACTTTTTGTTGGACTCGTTTTGTGACAATTC